CCACATGCCACAGCTTACCATACAAAAAGCACATTCACCACAATAGCATGTTGGTGTAGCGTCAAACCTCCTGTACGCAATCCCACCAATCTACCCAGAACCCTATCCACAGCTTCTTTCGAATTCACCTCCCTTGCCTCCTGAAGGTTTCCCATATGAACAACCCCACTCACCTTAATTTGACGCACCAGGGGCCAGCTGTCTTCCTGTCCTAGAGCCCCACCCACACTGTACCCCCACCCTCATAAGCATAGACTTTTCCCTATTAATCGTCATCCCTGTTGCCCCTCCGAATCGTTCCACCAACTCACCCACCCTTCGTAAATCCTTTGACCTTCTGAATAAAACCGTGGTATCATCTACATAACCCATGATCCTTGGTTCCACAGCCACTTCATCTCTCTTCACTGCCTCCCTTACACTCCATTGCACAGCCCTATAGAATGGATCCTGGATCAACGCAAAGAGGAGCTGCGACACAGGGCACCCTTGCCTCAAGCCCCTTTCCATCCTAACTAGTTTTCCTAGCCTACCATTTACCTGCACTCATACCATAGCCTGCTCATACAACACCTTTGCCCAACTGACGATTTCCCTCTCAAACCCTTGCCACTGCATTAACTTCCACAATGCCTCAAGCTCCAGCCATATGCCGCATGCCAATCCAATGCTAATACCTCAATTTTATTTGCCCCCCCCCCCACTTTCGTCTATAAACCTATGTATGATCCCTTGCCCCACACACATTGATCGCCCAGGCACCCCATATTGACCCTCATCCAAAACTTTGTCAAGAACTCTTTTCATCCTATTCCCTAACATTTTAGTGAAGATCTTGTAATCACCACACATTAAAGTAATTGATTGACAATCATGTTCATAATCACAAGACTTCTTTTTCGGGATCATGACCACCACACCTGTATGTTGCTGTTCCCCCAACCTCCCTTCGGTTTTCATAGCATTAAATAAAGCCACTAAAAATTCACGCAAACATTCCCAGTTTTCCTTTTAAAAATCACAAGGAATGCCGTCAATCCCCGGCGATTTTCCCACACTCATTCCCTCCACTGCCATTCTAATCTCCTCCTCACTTATAGGCCCACACAGATTCAACCGATCCTTATGCTCCAAATTACAACATACCAATTCACCCATTTCCCCTAGCACCTCACAATTAACCCCTACTTTTTTCCCATGCATCTTGTACCACACATCCATGTAGCAACCCATACCCTCTGTTGACATGAGCACCTGCCCCTGACGATATCCCTCCAATTGCTCCTGGACCCTCAAGCTCATCATTTCCATCGCCCTGTGACATTTTCCTGCTCTCTCAAGACATATGCCGACAGTTGCCCCATAAAACCTCATCGATTCCTCCCACAATTCATGCCACATCAAAATCATGATTTTGAATGTCCCTAATCAGTTGTTTCAAACCCTCAATCTCAGCCACCGGATACTCACCCCCCTCCCATATAGCATTCCTGCAGTTGACCTTCAAGGTAATGTAAAACACCATATTGAAATCTCTGCTCTTCCCTTCCCTGCTTCTGATAAAAATCCCTCACCTTCCCCTTACCGACCATGTCCCACCACCAAAGGATGTCTACCCCTCCCCAGCTGTCTGCCCACCATCTCCTCCAAGCACTCTCAAAAGATTCCCTCCCACCTCCCTGTGCACAATAACCCAATATTCATCTTCCAATAACCCCTGAAATGCTTTGGCAATCCCTCCCAATTCAAGTCCACCAGGACCCCTCTATGATCAGAGAAGCTCACATTCAATGCACAAACGCTGCTTACCCTCACCCCCGAGACACATTCGATCAAGCCTCGCAGTAGAATCGTGCCTAATAAATGTATGCATGACCCCACCCACCTCCTCCCCTCCCACATCCACTACATTCACACCTCGCAATAGATCCCCTAAATACCCCAAAAAACCCTCCCCCTAGGCTTTACGTCCTTACGCCTAACAATACAGTTCCAATCACCTCTTAGAATCGTAACGACTGGGGGCTCTGGTGGCCTGGTGGTTAACGCTCTCGCTTCACACGGCGAGGGCCTGGGTTCGATTCCCAGCCAGAGTAGAAACATTGGACGTGTTTCTTATAACCTGTTGTCTATGTTCCCCATCAGTAAAATGGGTACCTGGGTGTTAGTCGACTGGTGTGGGTCGCATCCTGGGACACTGACCTAAGAAGGCCTGGTCACAGACCGGGCCGCGGGGGCGTTGACCCCCGGAACTCTCTCCAGGTAAACTGGCAACGATCATAAATGGTAAACAAGGACGTCCCTAAAGAACCTATTTTTGATGCCCATGCCTCCTTCCACAGGCCCATACACCCCTATGAAACCCACTTGAACCCCACCCCACGTGCCATCCACCCAAACCACCTGCCCCTCCTCCCCTACCTCACATCTTTGCAGAGAAAACGGGCTAGCTTCTTTAATTAACAATGCCACACCGCCTTTCAATCGTGCAGAACAACCCATATACATATCATGTCCATTAATCATTAACTCCCCCAATGATTTATAATTATGTTCCTGCAGGAACACAAGGTCAGGTACATATCTCTTTAAAAATACCTCCAGACTCTTACATTTGTCTACTGACTTCAACTTATTAACATTTAAAGTAATACACTTGAAGGATTCAATGGAGGCTTACCTTTAGACACCTTAACACTCTTAGAGCCTAGACGGGCACCCCCACTTCTCCCCCCAGACCCCCTATGCCTTCCCCTTTCACATGCTCAACACACTTTGTTCCACCAGTACCTCTACGGGTCACATCGTGCCATGCTTTCTTCCCAGACCTTTGCCCAGGAGTCAAAACGTCATCATTATCTGATATTACAGCATCTCTCTTGCGAGAGCTACGATCTGCAACCATAGCCTCCTCTAGGCTGTTATCCCTGTGGACGTCCACTACCACATCCTGATCTATTTCCACGCCACATGCATCCTGCATGTTGGGGCCTCCTGCCCTTGCCTCTACACTCTCAGTATCCAAACCAGCATGGATCATCGTAGACGCCGAAACATCCAGCAGTTCATGCAGAGTCTCCTGAATGGATGCCTCCATTACATCCTGAGCAATTACAGATTCCTCATCGCTCGTCGCTGACACCAAGCCTATGTCCTCTCCAAATCTAGGTAGGGTCACACATCCAGGAGACAACTCTGTCTCCCTCTCTACCTCCTCACTCCACGTCTCCCGTGCCGGAGGCTCATGTTGCGTTGCTGTAGCGCATGTTTACTGCCTCGTTGCATCATTAGTTCTTGTATCAGCCGTTGATCTTCCTCGTCGCGTAGGACATTGTGCCGCGATGTGATCATATGTCCCACATAGTCGACACATACGCCTCTGACCCGTGCTTTAGGGACATTTTAAGGGAAAAAGTCCCTTCTGGCATGCCAACAAGTGGCCCATCACGCCAACGTCCTAATGTCGCCAAATGAATCGTACCATAACGTCCAAAAACGTTCCTTAAATCATTCTCATCAGCTTCAAAAGGAACATTATGCACCTTGATCCAAGTGTAAAACCATGATACATCATGAAGGCGGACATTAACGCCAGAGTTAATCGGCCTAACCACATCCTGGTACCTGGCCACCATATTTTCATAAGTGCTGCTCTGCCGGAATTTGAATTTCCTTGAAATACCATTCAACAAAATGCCATGGAGCTCCTCGTTTGAGATGCCATACGTGTCCCTTAATATCGCCGTCAGCAAAAGATGGGTGTTCTGACTATTGAGCGAGCCCTTCACAAGTTCAATACAGTGTTGACACGCCTACGTCCACCTTCCGCCATTATGAAAGTACTGCTGCCTGCCACCAGGGGTTTAGAGAGCAGCTCCACTGTCGTCCTCTCTACCCAAAGGCTGAGAGACGAATGTCTTTAGTTATACTTCTATGCCCCTGGAACAACACAGAAGAATTTTTGTTGGACAGGTAGCCTTTAATCCAGTGGAGAAGCCATCCTCCAACATTCATTCTGGCAAGTTCACTAATGATTACATGTCGGTTGGCTACATCAAAAGCAGATTTAAGGTCAAGGAAGGTAGTGTATGAGCTATCAGTGTGCAGAGTGAGAAAGGTGGTTATGCAAAGATGCACGCTCCTTCCATGCATGAAACCATGTAACCGGGGAGACAAAAATTATTTGATTCTGTACATGAGACAATTAAGAATCATCCTCTCGAATAGCATATTCGTTAGAAGGCTGTTTCACTATTATCTTAATTTTGTGTGGAACTTTGCCGTAATGTAAGAAAGAAACTTGTATTACTTATTGTCACCTCATAACTATGTACTGCTAGTTCCTGGATGTTCTAGGAGTACTTCGAGAGGTGAGTTGGCTGGCACCGGCTTCACTAGAGAAAATTATTGGAGTAGGTTTACGGATTCTTGAGCATTTTTTAGTATGCCTAGCTATTCTTGAAGATTTTTTGATATTCCTGAATATTCCTTATCTCGTACCTGTCAACCCTGGAAACTTTATCGGTCCTGGTATAAAGATTTCTGAGTACTGGAGAATTCATGAGCATTTCTGGTTATTCCCGAGCATTTCAGAATATTCATGAATATTTCCAAGCTCACAACTATCAAATTCTCGTCGCTATTGTCCAGCAACGATGTTGGAACACATCTCATGAGTTTGCAGGTGTCAACAGCTCATTTTTTCCCCACCACTGTACGGCTACTTCTCTTATCATCCTCATTTTCCTGAAGATTGCTGTGAATTCTTTTATTCTCTTCTCTCAGTAGCCATATCTCTCACTACTCGCCCAAAACTCGCTTCAGAAAAATATTTTTGATCCTCTTCCAGGAATCTACAAGATAGTTTGAGCCTCCATATGGAACCTACAAGACAATCTAGAAGACAGACTAAGCCTCATCCAGGAGCCTACAAGAAAGTTTGAGCCTCCATAAGGGGTCTATTTGAGCCTTCATAAGGCGCTTACAAGATAGTCTGAGCTTCCGCCAAGAGTCTACTAAGACAAAGAATATAGAGTGAAATACGTATACTCACTGAGTTGCCTGTCAGTGACAGGGTCAGGTGACCAGGCTCCAGGTATGCAAGCTTTACTCCAAGATTTGCTCAGAGCATCGATCTGGCTCTGCAAAATAACGAAAACATTATTGTGGAAACACTCTCTGCTTAAATGGTTGGTGTATTAAGCTTAATAAACTACATGAGTGACATTAAGACTGAATATCACCTGTACACCAATAGCCAGTGTATATACATTGAGAGAGATATATACCTCAAGGTATATATACATTGAGAAATGTATACCTCATTGTGTATATACTTTGTGCTTGACTGCATCTCCCATTATTCACTTATCTTTTGAAATTTGCAATATTCCCTCAACAACTTATCATATATTGCTTCATATACGCAATTGTAATGAGTGTTTTACATATGTATCACCTAACTTTTGATATAATATTAAGAGATTCTTAAAGTAATTTCACGGATGACTAAGACAACCATCCCTGTTTTAATCTGAATATTATACAGTATGAATTCGCTTTAGATTAAAAACATATATGTCACATAAGGTGAGTAATACCGACTAATGCATCAAGAAGACACACATGCAGGGCAATAGGGAGTCTTCAGTCCAAAACACGGTACCTGAATCGGAGAGAATATATCATCGAAGGAAGGTCAGATATAGTGAGGGCAGGTGCATCATGGTATGTCCGTCACCTGACGACTTTGTCCTGTAAGATTAACTTCACCAGAAGTTTTGAAACGCAACAGCTTCGGGTGTTTTACACCTCTGTTTTGCTAAGACATTACGATTGATTCTAAGCTACAGCGCCTGCATGGATCCTCATCTACTTCTATGTGGAGGATGCGACAAGATCCATTAAACGATACAGAGAGGAGGAAGCTGGAGATAGCGGAGATGTCATGTTTGGGATCAATGTGAGACGTGAAAATTATGCAGAGAATTCAGAGCGTAGAAACTAGAAGATGATGTGAGGGTTATGAAGGCATTATTCAGAAAGCATATAATAGAGGTTATTGAGGTGGTGTGGGTATTAAAATATAAAGGAGCGGAACAGGACAACCAAGGGTGAGTATAAACCCGAGGTGGAAAGAAAACCGGAATATGAGTCATCCGAGGAAGGGCTGGAGTAACGCTGTGAAGGAGGAATTAAGCATTAAAGTCTTGAACACTTAACAGGCATGTGTGAGAGCATGTTAGATCAAGATAAGGGAAGACAAGTAGTTTTAATGGGCACGTGAGTTTCCCGGTCTCAATATCATGTTTATTTTCTCCCCTATAATCTACCTTGTCCATAATTACTATCGCATTTGCTTTGTCTGCATTCGTAAGGTGAAATTTTAATTCATGGTATAACCTAACAAATCTTTAAGGACAACTGTGTTGTAGCGGTCTGAACTGTGCTCAGACCGCTACAACAATTACATACAATTAGTGCAATTACTGCATTTAATAAATATTAGTGTTACACTGGTGGTATACTGAGTAGATTTAACCTAGGGTATCTTGACCTAGTATAGGTATATACTAGCCTTAATATCTGTCAGGAATTCGTCGGAGTTGCTAGTTACAGGGCGGTAGAGAGCGCGGGGGTAGTAACGCTGCCTGTTGATCCCCGGGTGACACACACTCTTGATGTTAGTGTTGTGAGGATCATGAACCAGTAAGTATACACTCTTCACCTCTTTGTCTGCCACTGTCGAGAGGAAAGAGACAATGGTAAAGACAGTCACTACATAGCAGATGAGAGATAGAGTAAATGGGTTTTAGATGCAATGGAGCCAGAGTGGGACAACCATGCCTGGAAAAAATCATGTGGCATCCATTTCAGATCAACTCCTTGAAATCCTAATTACCATACTGAGAAGCCTCAAGCTCCATTTGCTATCACCATCCCCCATGCTTTGCTGGCACACACACAGGGCCAGGAGCTGTGAATCGACTCCTGCAACCACAAATAGGTGAGTACACACACACACACACACACACACACACACACACACACACCCTAGACCCTTGGCTGCCTTCAAGAGGGAGCTGGACAGATATTTAAAGTTGGTGCCGGATCAGCCGGGCTGTGGTTCCTATGTTGGACTGCATGCGGCCAGCAGTAACAGTCTGGTTGATCAGGCCCTGATCCACCGAGAGGCCTAGTCGTGGACCGGGCCGCGGGGACGTTGATCCCCGGAATACCCTCCAGGTAGGTAGACACACAAACAAGTGATAAGGTTGTGGAGGGAGGAAGGGACACGACGGAGAAAGACAGAAGTATATGAAGTGCTTAGCAAAAGATTGAAAGAAGTCTTCAGAGAAAAGAATTGGAGAGCTACGGAGGGTAGTATAGTCAGAACAGACCAAGAGTTACTGGAAAGTATCAACACCACAAAAGAAGTGGTGAGTCTACTACATGAGCCGGATGTAACAAAAGCAACCAGACCAGACAATATATTACTGAAGGTGCTGAGAAAGGGGGCAAAACAACTATGTGACCCAATAGCAAAGGTAGTCTATAAATCTCTCCAAGTAGAACAGCTGCTATAAATTGGAAAAGACATGTGGTTCCTATTTATAAAGAAAGGAACTGACAAAGCGCCCTGAATTTCATACCAGTATCCCTGTCATACATACTGTAAAAAGTTCTGGAGAAAATGGTAACGAAAATGATATTGGGACAACTGGAGAGAAGATGAATTTTCACAGAATAATATTATTCAGAGAATTCGGACCCTGGAAATTAGAAGATGTGGAGTTAATAAAAGTTTTATTCGGAGGGCTGAGGAAGGGTAGTTGAGGTAGTTTCAACATTCAGAGAGGATAGAACAAAGTAGCACGAATAGGAGAGTGCAAAAATCTGAGGTGGAGGCCCGGGGAGAGGGGAAGGGATCATCTTGGAAAGGTTAGAGGTAAGGGATAGAGGAAGTTTTGAGTACTAAGGCTTGTGCGAGCGCATTACATAGGAGTGAGTGGAGGCAAGCGGCTTTAGTGACTATACACTGTTGAATTGTTGGAGTGTGAAGGAATACAGGAAAACCAGTCAGCCGGACTTGATTCCTGGAGGTGGGTATACGTATACCCTGAAGGAAGTACTCTCATGATTTCTCACATTTTCAAGGAATGTGAAAAATCACAAAAGCACTTGAAATTTCACTTTTTCATCGTGGCTATTCTTTATGCATGCATGTATGAATGCATATATATATATATATATATATACACTGAGAGTAAAAGGTAGATGGGATACAAGGAGAATAGAAGCATCAGGGAAGAGAGAGGTGAAGGTTTATAAACTAAAAGAGGAGGCAGTTAGGGTAAGATATAAACAGCTATTGGAGGATAGATGGGCTAATGAGAGCATAGGCAATGGGGTCGAAGAGGTATGGGGTAGGTTTAAAAATGTAGTGTTAGAGTGTTCAGCAGAAGTTTGTGGTTACAGGAAAGTGGGTGCAGGAGGGAAGAGGAGCGATTGGTGGAATGATGATGTAAAGAGATAGAAAGGGGAGTAAAAAAGTTAGCATATGAGAAGTTTTTACAAGTAGAAGTGATGCAAGGAGGGAAGAGTATATGGAGAAAAAGAGAGAAGTTAAGAGAGTGGTGAAGCAATGTAAAAAGAGAGCAAATGAGAGAGTGGGTGAGATGTTATCAACAAATTTTGTTGAAAATAAGAAAAAGTTTTGGAGTGAGATTAACAAGTTAAGAAAGCCTAGAGAACAAATGGATTTGTCAGTTAAAAATAGGAGAGGAGAGTTATTAAATGGAGAGTTAGAGGTATTGGGAAGTTGGAAGGAATATTTTGAGGAATTGTTAAATGTTGATGAAGATAGGGAAGCTGGATTTCGTGTATAGGGCAAGGAGGAATAACATCTTGTAGGAGTGAGGAAGAGCCAGTTGTGAGTGTGGGGGAAGTTCGTGAGGCAGTAGGTAAAATGAAAGGGGGTAAGGCAGCCGGGATTGATGGGATAAAGATAGAAATGTTAAAAGCAGGTGGGGATATAGTTTTGGGTGGTTGGTGCAATTATTTAATAAATGTATGGAAGAGGGTAAGGTACCTAGGGATTGGCAGAGAGCATGCATAGTTCCTTTGTATAAAAAGGCAAAGGGGATAAAAGAGAGTGCAAAATTATAGGGGGATAAGTCTGTTGAGTGTACCTGGTAAAGTGTATGGTAGAGTTATAATTGAAAGAATTAAGAGTAAGACGGAGAATAGGATAGCAGATGAACAAGGAGGCTTTAGGAAAGGTAGGGGGTGTGTGGACCAGGTGTTTACAGTGAAACATTATAGTGAACAGTATTTAGATAAGGCTAAAGAGGTCTTTGTGGCATTTATGGATTTGGAAAAGGCGTATGACAGGGTGGATAGGGGGGCAATGTGGCAGATGTTGCAAGTGTATGGTGTAGGAGGTAGGTTACTGAAAGCAGTGAAGAGTTTTACGAGGATAGTGAGGCTCAAGTTAGAGTATGTAGGAAAGAGGGAAAATTTTCCCAGTAAAAGTAGGCCTTAGACAAGGATGTGTTATGTCACCGTGGTTGTTTAATATATTTATAGATGGGGTTGTAAGAGAAGTAAATGCGAGGGTCTTGGCAAGAGGCGTGGAGTTAAAAGATAAAGAATCACACACAAAGTGGGAGTTGTCACAGCTGCTCTTTGCTGATGACACTGTGCTCTTGGGAGATTCTGAAGAGAAGTTGCAGAGATTGGTGGATGAATTGGTAGGTGTGCAAAAGAAGAAAATTAAAGGTAAATACGGGAAAAGAGTAAGGTTATGAGGATAACAAAAAAGATTAGGTGATGAAAAATTGAATATCAGATTGGAGGGAGAGAGTATGGGGGGAGGTGAACGTATTCAGATATTTGGGAGTGGACGTGTCAGCGGATGGGTCTTGAAAGATGAGGTGAATCATAGAATTGATGAGGAAAAAGAGTGAGTGGTGCACTTAGGAGTCTGTGGGGGACAAAGAACTTTGCCTTGGAGGCAAAGAGGGGAATGTAGAGAGTATAGTTTTACCAACGCTCTATATGGGTGTGAAGCGTGGGTGTGAATGTTGCAGCGAGGAGAGGCTGGGGGCAGTGGAGATGTCATGCTGAGGGCAATGTGGGGTGTGAATATAATGCAGGGGAATTCGTAGTTTGGAAGTTAGGAGGAGGTGCGGGATTACCAAAACTGTTGTCCAGGGGGCTGAGGAAGGTTGTTGAGGTGGTTGGGACATGTAGAGAGAATTGGAGCGAAACAGAATGACTTCAAGGTGTATCAGTCTGTAGTGGAAGGAAGGCGGGGTAGGGTCGGCCTAGGAAGGGTTGGAGGGAGGGGGTTAAAGGAGGTTTGTGTGCGAGGGGCTTGGACTTCCAGCAGGCATGCGTGAGCGTGTTTGATAGGAGTGAATGGAGACAAAGGGTTTTTTTAATACTTGACGTGTGTTGGAGTGTGAGCAAAGTAACATTTATGAAGGGATTCAGGGAAACCGGCAGGCCGGACTTGAGTCCTGGAGATGGGAAGTACAGTGCTGCACTCTGAAGGAGGGGTGTTAATGTTGCATTTTTTAAAAACTGTAGTGTAAAGCACCCTTCTGGCAAGACGTGATGGAGTGAATGATGGTGAAAGTTTTTCTTTTTCGGGCCACCCTGCCTTGGTGGGAATCGGCCGGTGTGATAATAAAAAAAAAAAAATATATATATATATATATATTATATATATATATATATATATATATATATTTTTTTAAAACACGTTGGCCGTCTCCCACCGAGGCAGGGTGACCCTAAAACAGCAAATATCTCAAATACCTCCTTTAAAGTGAAGGCAGTGTACTTTCCACTTCCACAACTCAAGACCGGCTAACCGATTTCCCTGAATCCCTTCACAAAATATTACCCTGCTCGCACTCCAACAGCTCATCGAGTCCCAAAAACCATTCATCTCCATTCACTCCTAACACGCTCACACATGTCTGCTGTATGTCCAAGCCCCTTGCACGCAAAACCTTTTTTTACCCCCTCCCTGCACCCTCCTCTAGGATGACCCCTACCCCTCTTCCCTTCCACTACAGATTTATACATCCTCCAAGTCATCCTACTTTGCTCCAGCCTCTCTAAATGACCAAACCACCTCAACAACCTCTCGTCAGCCCTCTTCACAATACTTTTAGTAACTCCATACCTCCTTATATATATATATATATATATATATATATAATATATATATATATATATATATATATATAGATATAGCCACAGGGATGGAAATCTTCAGGTCAAGTACCTTCAGACTTCTCCGTGCGTCATCAGAAGCTATGCAGTGTTACAAGAGTAGCAACAGAAGAAATAAGGGAAAGTTTTCTCAGAGTGAAGTGGGATCGTGACACTAGCCAGTCAACTTCTCTTACATAATCGATTATGCAGAAGTTGGCTGGCTATGTCATAAACAGGTAAAAACCAGTTAAAAAATAATCAGACACATATGAGCGCTTTCGTGCCATCAGACATTCTAGGAGGAACTAGAAAGAAGAACCAAGATTAGCTCATCATATAGAATAGGAAGTGTTTTGTAAGTGAGGTGGCAAGAAACATACCATAAATGTATCCAAAGCTGCTTCACTGTAGCTTTAGTTGTTACCATCTTTGTTTAGATTCAAGTAACTATTGTGTGACTACATGTCAGTGTAGTACAAGACCAGGTTTGATCAATTCCAACAACCGAGCTATCTGACTGAGGTAATAAAAGAATTTCTATATTTCATGTGTTGGAGTTTATCAAGCCTAGTTTTCTCTCATATTCTGAGACTGCATATATTATAAAAGCCACACACTCACCGAACTGGAGAGATGCTAAAAACTTGTCACCGAAGGAGTTAGCTGCGATATTAAGATCCTCAGCCTCGAAGTAACCAAATTCAGCTTCGTTGTTCCTCATCTTCTTGAGGCAGTCCACTCTAGGGGTGAGGAAGAATTATTGGATCAAGGAAACCTAGGTTACTAGAAAATGTTAATGATAGCTGTTACTGGGAAATGTTGGAGTGACATCTGTTACTGGGCGAGATATAATGTATTTATATTAACTTGAGTTTATTCACAAAAAACGCCGAACTCGTTGGGATCATCAACACTTAACCTTCATAATATTAAAAAATATATTGACCCGAAGCGTGTAGCTTAAATACCGTAGAGTAGAGGAGATATTTTCTCGACACCGAGTACCTCATTCCATTCGTTCTGAAGTCACAGAGGATTAAGCTATAGGTTATAATGTTGAAAATCGAGTTTGCCGTTTTGCCATACCATAAAGTGCACATACCATAAAGTGCACATACCATAAGGAGCACATGGTGTTCCTCCATTTGCTCACACAGCACACGGAGGAGCACAGGACAAAAGATATTATCATCGACCTTTCCAGCATTACACAAATAACCCACACATATGAGAGAGGAGGAGCTTACGATGACTTCTCATTCCGATTTGGACCATTTACAAAGTCACACTGAGCAGTGGCGTTGCTAGGGTTGGTGTCACCCGGGGCGGCATCTCTGATGTCACCCCATGAAATCCAAGGGCGGGGAGATGGGGGGAGTAAACTTTAGTTACGTCACTACTGCATGACCAGTGACTAATGTTTAGCAATGAGAACGTTTAAGGTCCATAAACCGAACAGGAGAATACTTCTCAACTTTATTAACAATAAAATCTTAGTAACATTGAGGAAACATAACTCAATACCACTTTGAGTACAGGCAACAGACAGATAGCACTAACATCCCATATCATAAAAATCTTTGAGAGGTTTCTAAGAAGCAAGACTGCCAACCACCTAGATACCCATCAATTACACAACCCTGGGCAACACGGGTTTAGAGCAGGTCGCTCCTGCCCGTCCCAGCTACTGGACCACTATGACAAGGTCCTGGTTGTAGAGAATAAACAAATACAGATATAGTATACACAGATTTTTGCAAAAGCTTTCGACAAGTGTGACCATGGTGTAATAGCACACAAAATGTGTGATAAAGGAATAACAGAAAAAGTTAGTAGATGGATCTATAACTTCCTGACATATAGAACACAAAGAGTAATAGTAAACAGAGTAAAGTTCCAGGCAGCCACGGTAAAAAGCTCTGTTCCACAAGGCACAGTACTCGTTCCCATTCTATTCCTCATCTTCATTTCTTACATGAACAGAAATATAAAAATATAAGTCATAGTTCCATGTCTTTCTTTGCGGATGACACCCGGATCACCATGGCAGTGACCTCCATCGAAGACACCACGAGATTCCAAGCGGACATCAACCAAATCTTCGAATGGGTCACTCAAAACAATATGAAGTTCAAAGAGGAGAAATTTCAACTACTCAGATATGGAAAACTTGAGGAAATTAAAAATGTATTAGGGTATACGACAAATTCTAACCATACAATAGAGCGGAAAAGTAATGTGAAGGACCTAGGAGTGATAATGTCAGAGGACCTCGCCTTCAAAGACCACAACAATGTATCTACCTCATCTACTAGGAAAATGGTAAGATGGATAATGAGAACCTTCAATACTAGGGACGCCAAGCCCATGATGATTCTCTAGGCTGCTCTCTAGGCTGGAATACTGCTGTACACTAACGGCCCCCTTCAAGGCTGGCGACATTGCAGACCTGGAGATTGTACAAAGAACTTTCACGGCACATATAAGCACTATAAGGCACCTAAATTACTGGGAACGGTTGAAGGTCCTTAATCTGTATTCCCTGGAACGCAGTCGAGAGAGATACATGATAATATACACTTGGAAGGTCCTGGAGGCATTGGTACCAAACGTGCATGCCAAAATCACTCCCTATGAAAGCAAACGACTCGGCAGGAGATGCAACATTCATTTGAAGAAAAGCAGGGGCGCAACGAATACACTGTGAGACAACACAATAAGTGTCTGGGGTCCAAGACTGTTCAAGTGCCTCCCAGCCTACATGGGGGGATTACCAACAGACCCCTGGCTGTCTTTAAGAAGGCACTGGACAGGCACCTAAAGTCAGTACCTGACCAACCAGGCTGTGGTTCGTACGTCAGCTTGCGTGCGGCCAGTAGTAACAGCCTGGTTGATCAGACCCTGATCCACTGTGAGGCCTGGTCTCAGACCGAGCCGCGGGGACGTTGACCCCCGAAACCCTCTTCAGGTAAACTCCAGGTAAACAGATCTTACATTTATTCATCTTCAACAATGAAAAAAAAACTTGAAAAATAAAGAAAAGCGTTGCGATATCAGAGAAGCACTAGTTCGATTTGACCTTGAGTACAGGTAACATCTCAGTGAATCAGATCTTACATTTCCTTGCCTTCAATCCTGCAAAATCATCTATAACATCATCAAAATCAATGCTGTCAATTGACCCATTTTTTATGGATAACATTGCTAAATCAGATTTTGGATTGACTCATTGTGGACCGTAAATAGTTTTTAATCAGCTTCAACTTGGAGAAACTCCTTTCACAAGAAGCCACAGAAACACATATAGTGAGGAACAACCTCAGGCAGAGTGTCAGAGTTGCAAGAGTTTCAATGAAATCCCATTCAGATTCAGCTATGAATGTTAGTGTATCCAGTGCAGTCCAGTGCTTAACTTTTTCAAGATCAACATCACCAGCTTGCAGGTGCTGCCTTAGTCTTGGTATTTCAAGTATGAGCTCATTCTTGCTGTGAGTCTCGAAGCTATCACTTTCAATTCTTCTGTAGCTTGCACAAGATTCTTCATTTGAATGACCACAAACATGGCTGCCACATCCTTGATTGCTTTTGATCACATCTCGAGTTCATTATGAAAACGATCAATGTACTCCAACATCACCATCTTGTTTTCTTCTTGTAGAGTGAGTCCGGAATCTCTTACCTGCTCCCATGCCATCATTTTCTTTAACCTGATTCTTCTCTCTGTTGGAAATTCATCTTCCTCACTGACGTGAGGAGTGATCATACTGATGCCTGGTGGATTAAGGGTTTTTCCAAAATATCGTAAATAAAGTTTTTCGCATAGGATCATTGATTTCCCTATAAGGCCTATTTGTACTCTGTAATCATATAATAGGCTACACAGAAACAAAGGATTTTTCTCTTATGTTGCTGCAGCACTGTTTCGGGCATTAGTATCACCTACTTTAGAGGCTGTATGGTGTCACTCCTTGATGGTATCACCCGGGGCGAACCGACCCCTCCCCTTATGACGCCACTGACACTGAGTGTGACTATGTAAATGGTCCAAGTCGGATCGAAACGTCGTCGTAAGCTTCTATTCTCTCCTTTGTGCGGGTTATTTGTACATTGTGGAAAAATACACTTATATACAGATTGGCTGGCTGGAGGTATGAACCATTTCGCCACGAGTGGCTTCTTCATTCCTAATACAGAGATAAAAAAAAAAACGAGTATATGTAGTGGCGGGAGTCAGGTGGAGTGTCGTGTGGGCAGAGATGGTAGTGGTAGAAGTAGTGGAACTAATGTGATGAGACGGGTTGGGCTAGAGAAAGACCTGTTGACATTATGTTACAGCAGTCTCCAGAATGGGTAATATCCTATTGATTAACAATTTTGAGATACTGTAACTACCGGACTTTTGATGGATAGTGTTACTGACAGCAATCAGGGCAGCTTCTATGCACTTTCGCCGTCTTAAATCGTCTTCTTTAATCACTAGTTTAGCCTCACTGAATTTCGTGAGGTGTCCAACATCGCCCCTGTGTTGAACAAGCGCGTTTTTACGGTCATTTCTGCAAATATTTTCGTGTTCTCTGATCCTAATGTCCAGAGATCTGGCTGTTTCCCCCACATATACTGTCACACACCCCACATGGTATAGTGTATATTCCTGCACTTGTGCCAGAGTCATGCTTGGGGTTTTTGTACCAGGTTCCTAATAGTAGCTGATGAACTGGTAGATATTTTAGCTAGTTTTCTGTCAAAAAATTTTTAAACGTTAGTTGCAACATTGCTGACCGGTAAAACGGTGTAACTTTTCTTTAATTTGACTGGTGTTGGTTTAGTTAAAGATTAGCCGGTATTCTCCCGGCCCGGGCCTTTTCCAAGTGGTGGCCCGGCCTTGGCTCCCTCTTTAGGGAGTGTCTGAGGCCTAAGTCTCCCATGGGAGGAGGCACAAGTACCTCCTCATCTTTGGGACCAACTGTCCCCAGGCCTAGCCACAAGCTAGGCCTCTCTGGTCTGCCATCCCCGCCCCAAGGGGGCAAATGGGAATGACAGTCTTATGAGCTAAAGGCTCGGGCTCAGGCACCTACCCTACCCTAGAAGGGTTAGGCATGGTGTCGATCTCACTGGTGTTGGTCTTGTTGAGGATACGTGTCGCACGTTTCCTGCAGTCACATATGAAGTGTAGGGGAAAGTATAGTGAACTAAAAGAATGGGTGATGCATGCGCATTCTTCTTCGAGGAACTGCGGACTGGAAATTCTGTAGGCTCTCAGAAAGAAACCAATAACTACCCCTCTTTTAGTTCTGGCGTCATGGTGAGAGAAGAAATGTAGAAGATCGTTCTTCTAGGTAAGTTTACGGTAGATTTTAAAAGAAAATCTGTTTTCACCAGTGAGTAGGAGAACGTCTAGAAAAGGTGAATGGTTGTTCTTTTCCTCCTCTAGTGTAAATTTAATAGTAGGTTCCAGAGTGTTGATGGTGTTGAGGATGTCACGCACGTCTAGATTTTTGGGTACAATGACCAAAATATCATCAACGTACCGCGTCCATGTAAATGACCTAGGGATGTTATTGAGGACCGTCTGGATTCTAGGTCCTCCATTTATAAATTGGCAAATACTGCACTAAGGAGTGAGCCCATGGTTAGCCCTAAAACAGATATGCTCACAAAATCTTGGCGAAGGTACAGGTAACTCTGTATCATTGTTAATCATCCTACGAAAAAGATCAATGGCATGATCAACTGGGACATT